TCCTTCAACTCGGACGCGATTTATTTCAGCCAGCCGTTGACGTCCAATCAGGATCGGGTCACGGGAGTCCATCTTGGTTGGACATCAACGTCAGTGTCATTTCGGATGTATGTATAATTAATGCTGCGAGCGCATTGGGCAACAGTGGCTTCACTGTACACATTCAGAAGGCAAGTAGAGTATTTCTTCCACATCAGCTGAACTTTCCCTTAATTGTGGCCGAATTTCGGTACATCAGAGAATATAACCTTCTCGCTGACATTTTACCAGTCTACTATCAGAATTTTTTACTAGTCAGAAATTTGAGCTAACCTATTAGTGTAAGGATCGAGGGCACAATGATGAGCATAAGCTAACATCTCTCCTACACAACCACGCCCGAATACGGAAACAATTAGAACAAAGTCGACATCGTATAGGTAATCTGAAAATTCACTTTTCAGGTAATAATGAAAAATACTATTGAAAATAATTCTGGGAAAGCAGCGGGAGTGGTGTACTGGCAAGTGGCGCACTATCACATACGCGTAATCACGGATCCGATCCTCGGATCGATATCCGACTAGGCCAACGGAACTTTCCATTATTCTGGTAGCGGGTAATTGTTACCATATGCTGGGAGGATGAAAGCAGAGACTTGTACATCAGATGGCCACCGCAAAATGTTTTCAGAGGCGACACACGCATTCTATTCAATACGCCGCCACCATTCTGAAGATCGAGGGTGGGGGGAAGAGAGGAAGGCCATCTATCAGACGTCATCTCTCAAACGGTAGTGGTCAACGCTTGAGGTCTTCAAAAGTCTTTATTTTGTAAAAGTTAGGCCTGTAGTACTCATGCGTCTGTTACACTACTTCAGTTATGGCATTCACCTAACTAGGAGCTTCTCGCTTCATGCTAGTCAGCTTCACTATCCGCTTTCAGATGTAAATTATCTTTCTCGTATGTGATTGACATATTACTTATCAATTACACCTTGAGCTTCCAAATCCATTAGTAACCAAGATAGGAGTGGAAAGTTGTGTAAGGTAAGGCCTTATGAAGTATTTTGAAAACCNTTCCCTGGTTCTATGATAGTTAGTGCTGACTTTGCCAAAATGGGTGTTTATTTTGTATTTCAAATTGTTTTACTGACCTACAAACCTTTCCATACAAAACGAATTCATAATACATTCCACTTTTTATGGGTTACGTAGTCTCTAATCGATTCTAAAGACTGTTCACATTTTCGCTCAAGAGAAACTGTACCTCCACAAGAGCCCTGCTTCGACTTGCACTTTTCGTCCGCGTCCGCGCATGGGCAACACTGAACAAAAAGCAATTCAATAGAGAAGCCTGCTCTTGGGCTCAATGTTCTGAGCTCTCCCACACGATGGCAGTGGAGGTGACGGGGAATTGGTCATTTCGTACGGAAAGGACGAGCAGATGTAGTGTAGCAGCAAGTGGCATACTCAGATGCGTGTTAGCCCAGGGGGAAAACAACAAAAAGGGGTCTGCCAAAAAGCTTAAAAACATAGAAACTTCTTGAAGAGGCACAACATTGCAGGTACATGTTGGAAGGCATTGTGACGGAAAATTCTATGTGTATCAATGGTCCCAACCTTGAGCTCACTATAACTCTTTAGCTTCCCTCGCCATAAAACAAGAGGCGTACGAGGGCTTCGTAAATTCGCCTATCCATCTAGCGTGGAGGCTATTCGCTTGTCTCAAACTCGGGCGGAGGCTGGCGATTAGACTAGTTAATGAGAAAGACAAAAGGAAAAGAAATTGCATAGAAAAATGAGGTCTGAGGTGAAATCTCTTCGGTCGGAGAGAGAGGTGATTGCCTCTCGAGAGTGTCGCCTCTGTGTATAAAATAAGATCATGTCGTTCTATTCGGCTTTCTCTTATTTTGACCTTAATAATTCTGCTTGTGAGGTTGGCCGAGTTGTATATAGTGGAACAGTAAACCACCAAAATCTTACTACATTGCGATTTTCAGGAATCCGTCGAGGATGGTTCATGATCCCACTCCTCTAGTCGATGACCCTCAAATTGAATCTCCTGGCAAACATACCATATAATAGCTAGCGTTCTGCGGTGCAATTGCATTAAAGCAGATTTTTTCACAGTGTCCAAGGCAAGTTTTTACTCTGGGGGCAGGTTTCCCGTCTTTCCCTCTGCATGTTCTGAAAGAAAAGCATTGACATAGAGACTCTTAGTAGAATTTGTTAGTTGAAGCACGTTTTGGTTTACTCAATTATGCTTCGTTGCACTGTTTGGGTGTGATCTGAATTTTATAGTTCTTTGTTTTCACGCTAGAATTACTGGCTTTGCTGCCGTTTGTGGAAATGGAATCGGCTTATATGTAGCTATATAAGCAATACATTTTTGGCACCGATGAATAGTTCTAGTGACAAGAGACAGTACGACATGGTCTAGCATTTAAGGGAAAAACCTGGGAGGGTGGGAAGTTTTGCTCGGCGCTGATTTTTCGAAGTCTACAACTAATATCCGATTCCTAGAATCATAGATGTATCCCAGAATAGTAATTTCAGCGTAATAGAAAATGGAAATAGTGCCAGTTTTCAAGTAGGACTATTCCATGGCTTTACCATCCTGGCGTTTCGTCCTAATGGCTGCTTTCATAGTCCGCCGGCCGGCGTGGAGGCAGTGCTAGCGGGGAGGAGGGAGGCAGACAGATAGGCAAACAGTCCACGCCCCTTCGAGGGGTTGAAAACAAACAACCTTCGAAGGGGCGTGGACTGTTTGCCTTACACTGTCTGCCTCCCTCCTTCCCTCTAGCACTGCCTCCG